TGTAGTGCGCCTCTGTCTCAAAAAAAAAAATCAAGACGCCCTACCTTTTACAATGGCAACATCTAGTGGTGTAATTAAGACATTGCAGGCTAAAAAGTAAACACACTTTTCCGAAATGCCCCTGTGTTGTTTCCGTAGTTTGCCAAAACACTAACCTGCCGCCGCTCTGACGTCCTGTAAAGTTCAGCTGAAGTAAAGGTATTGAGGGGTAGATGTCAGAATGGACCTCCAGCAGCCGTATCTGATCGGTGATTGCCTTATTCACATCTTTACATTCCTGACCGAGGAAGATTTAATCAGTGCCTCAAGTGTTTGTAAGGTAGGCCTTAAAGGAGGGAGTGTCCAACATGCAGGAAGTAACTCGTGTATATGTTTATTGTGATTTCCCAAACTCTTTTGATTTGTGATCGCGTTATGTTCCCCTCAGGATTGGCATGAAGCTGCAAAAACGCCTTGGTTGTGGAGGTGAGCATTGTCTGAACTGTTATTACGTCCTTTTATTTTCCGTCGATAAGATAAGAGGAAGATCCCGCGGTAAGAGAAAGCAATGGAAATGTATTCAAGTACTGTGCTAATGGTGTGATTAAAAAGATAAATCATACAATCATATAAAATGTGAGGAATTGTTATGAATCAAGATGACACTCTTTGACCCCCTGGTTAATATCTACTTTTAAAAGCCCATACATAAAAAAAATGCCCTACCTTTACAAGCTGCAACATGAAAGTGATGTACACATAATGCATACAAAGTCATCATCCAACTGGAGCCTATAATATAGATTTTCACATTGCTATGCCAGATCATTAACTTATTTTTACTCTAATTTTATTGTGTTGCTTAAACTTTTGTAGCTAATGTAAGATAAGACATGCTGTGTTTTATTTTTGTTTTTTGTTCACACTACATGTAAGCTCAGCAAACACCAAATCAAGACGTACCGTATGTTAGCACTCATGTCTGCTTTCCCCTCAGGCGGATGTGTCTGCAGCGCTGGACTTTCTGTAACTTTTCTGTCTTCAGGAGTGAACAGGTGAATCACTCATGGAAGAGATACTTTCTTCGGCGCTGCCACTTAGAGGACAAGATGACCAAAGGCAGATCAGGAGATTACACCTGCAAGAGCCTCAGAGGGCACACAGGTATGCTGCCCGTCGAGAACTGTCTCCCCATTACTTCATTAGGCCTCTCGTCTCATATTTGTATTGGATATGCTGTCTTGCCAGGCAGGGTGGTGGGGTTGGTGTACCTGCAGGGGAATTCAGATCAGCGTCCTGATCTCTGGAACAGCAGTGCCACAGTCTGCAGCGCCTCCACTGATGGTACAGTCCGATCATGGAACATCCAGAATGTCAGTTTGACAAAATCCGTATATTTCCATTTATTCACAGTGACATCACATGTAAATACAAGTACCAGTGCCTTATGTTGACTTTATATGTGAGGCACACATATTGATAAAATATAGTTCTAGATTTTTTAAATTGTGGTTTTTTATGCACATTTATATATTATATATATTGATGATGGATAAAGACTAAAAAAAACATGCAAAACTCTAGATTCAGTCACTAAACCAGTGTTGTGTACTGCAATAACTTTCCAATTAAAACCTTGCAAGCTAATCAGTGCTAATCAATCGTATCCAATCATTGGTATAAAATGTAATGCCACAGAAATAAAGCCCCCCCCCGCCCCCTGAGAGATGTATCTGATTTTGGACCTTTTCTTCTGCCAGGGTGACCTCCTGTGGTGCAGTCCTGTCCAGAGTCCTTTGACAGCAATTATCACTGATGAGCAACATGAAGCTGTGATCACAGCAGACTCCACAGGGCTCATAAAGAGCTGGCAGGGTCAGACTGGACAGGAGGTGGCCTCTTTCAATGCTGCATCTCCACACTGTACATTACTGCAGTACAATATAAACAACAGTTGGTTTCTGTCTGTGAGTTACAACTGCATTTTGCAGTTTGTATATCTAAAAAAAACATTTACAGTATATTTTGGTAGTGAAGAATATGCAGCATATTATATTATCTTTCAGGTTGGAACCAGTCAAGGGTATGTTTTCACACTTGCCGATACAGCTTTGACCATAAAGTCCAGGGTAAAGGTGTGCGACACCTTTAAAGTCAACACCCTGCTTGTGTCACCTGACAAGAAATGGGTCACAGCTGGAACCAAGGACAATGATGATTTAATCCTAAAGGTATTTCTTGCTGTCTTTGCGTTTCCTGCTTTGCTCTATTCCTGTCTGTTTTCTTTTACCACATTGCCGCTGTACAAATAATGCAGTGGTTAAAAAAAAAAAGAGGTGTGTTAATATATATTCTGCAGATCTCTGCTGTTTGGTTTGCTGGCAGGTAATTTCTACAGAGAGTCTGACCTCACCGACTGAGGACGAAGATCCTCTGTGCCAGTCGGTGCCAGTCACTGGGTGCCAGGCTGCCGTCTTCATACCCACCCAGCCTGCCAGACTGGCCATCATCCATCACAACCAGCGCCCAAACAACAAAACCCTCACTGTGTTCGATGTCAGCTTAAAAAAGACTAAGTATAAGTCAGAGATCCAGGGTGAGAACCAAGATATGTGCAGATTGACTTTGTTATACAACCTCCTAATACTGGCCCTTACATAGATTGTTGGGTGATAAGTTAGGGAATCATTGTCAGTAATCCACTTTAAACTGCAGATATTGTTATACTGCTGATACATATTTAGCTTTTTTTTTAAAGTTATTTTTTTGTATTTTTGCTTATTTCAAGTGGTGGCTGTTATGTCAATGCTGACATTTTTTTCAGTAAAACTACAATGAAATTTAGTATTGTAAAAATCTCAAAATTGTGACAGATGGTGAAATGCTCTTATATAAGAATTATGTTGAGAGAAGATGGTGCCCAAGAATGTCTCATATGACAGTTCCATCATCTCAGACTACATCCTGAAAACTACATAAATTATGTATTTATGTTTTTATGTTTTTTATAAAGGCTGTATTTGGCCTGAGCTTGCTGTCCTAATTTTGCACCTCTTCTCATCATAGTCCAGCAGGTGGAGTCCTTTCCCCTGACTCTGAACACCAGGTCATCAGAATTCCTTCTGGAGGCCAAGGACAGCAACTGCTTAGTGCTGGCAGCTGGCCAGGAGCTAATGGTCTACTCACTCAAAGGAGCGCTGGTTGCTAGCTTTAAAGATCGCACTAGGCCAATCACTTCTATATGTGTGGTAGGCTGTTGTTTATGTTTGTTAGTTTGTTTTTCATACAGCACTGCAAGCCCTCACAGTGAAACGAGTCTTACAATGATCAATTTGTGCTTTGTTTTTTCACACCTATAGGATAGCTTTCGTGCCGTGACAGCATCTCAGGACCTCTCTTACAAGTATTAACTTGGAGAAATGACAGAGACCACTGTTCGAGTCTGGAGAGCAGATACCACTTACTAGGAGGCTCTCACACAATGTCCAGGTACTGACTGCTTAAGGTTGGGTTGGGTCCGCAGCCAAGTTTGCCGCACAGTTTAATAGTAATGTTTTAGTCTGAATACAGGTGTGTAGTCACTTCCTAATCCTATTACTTTATTCTGTGTGCCCTGTGTTCTAGAGGGTTCACCCACGTCATCTGTGACTACTCCAGCATTGTGGCCTCTGTAGAAGGGAATGATGGGAAAGATGTCTTAAAAGTGTATTCTTTCACCTCCTGAGCATCACTGCTCGACAAAAAGGTGCCTTCATAAAGTTTGTACAGCCAGATGGAACATTTACTTTTATTATAAACTGTTTGTCACATAAGCTTACAGTACATTAGTATATTCTTTGGTAACAGAAAGAGAATGAGACAATTTTTCACACTGTAGTTTTTTGGTTTTTTTTGTCTTTGTGTTTCCCTCTATCGCCTGTGCTCTCCAAGGTCTGCTCTCCTCCTTATGTAACATGTGTTATTAAGCTCACCTGTGTCCAATTAACAATCAAGGCCAGAGAACAAAGAGCAGGGGAGAGGGCAGCCAATGCCAGTGGGCCATCCGGCTGAGTGCGCTTAGTGACGTGCACTAGTGCTTAGTCCTGTGCTTAGGGTGTCTTTTTTTCTGTGCTCTAGTGTTTCTCATTTGTTTGTAATTTCAGGAAATAATAGTTTAACTGAGTGCTTGAAACAGCCTCTTTTGTGTTTTTAAATAAAGGCTTGTTTGTTTTTAAGTGAATATGTAATGTTTACCATTGTTAATTTCTCTCTCTATTTTCTCACTCACAGCTGCAAACTTTTTAGTTAACCATGAAGTACATGAAAAGTTTAGTTTCTACTATCTGATTAACTGTTGTCTCATTAGAGTCTTCGTGCGATCCGACACAGTCGATCATACAATCTTGTCCTGTTTAGGAAATGTGTATTGTTTAGGGGGAAAAATGCTGCACTCAATCAGTTTTAGTCCTGACTGGAAGATAGGACTTTGTCTGTCCACCTCGGTGATATCTCTTCTGAGATGGCCCCACTTACTAGTGGTGTCCCTCAGGGTTCTGTTTTGGACTCCATCCTATTTTCTTTAAGTATTCTTTTCCCAGGTCTTTGTTGAAAAATACGATGTCTTGTTCCACTGTTTTGCAGATGGTGTAAAGGTTTACTTGCCATTGAAACCCGTGGCCGCCCACTTTGAGGACTAGCCTCCGAACATGGGGCCCAGGACTTATATCTGGGATAAAAACCTTTCTTGTCATGAAAAATAGAGGGTTATCAATGTGTTATAAAGTTTAATTGGACGTCTTAGTACCTTTAATTACTCCTTAAAGCACTTTGGTCAGCCTTGGTTGTTTTTAAATGTGATGTAAAAAATAAAGTAGACTTAGATTTTACTCTGTTTCCTCCTTTTTCCCTGGTTTTAATAGTTTCTTACTCTCTTCATCCCATCCCATAGCCATTTTCTGGGAATGTCTCAATTGTTTCATTCACCAAATAAGGTTTTTCTACACTTTGGACTTGATTGGTAAATTGAACACGGGTGTGCTCAATCACAGGGTAGCGAAGCACCTGGAGAGCATGAGACAGAAAGATAAAACACAACACAAAAGAGAAAATTGAGAGTTCCACAGCATGCATCAGACACTTATTACAGATAAAGAATACTATATTAGTAGAAAGGCAGGGATACATGCCTGTATGCAAAACATGCTGGTTAAGAAAATAATCTGTACAGATAAAACAATTCATAACTATGCTTTTGTAACTGAGGTATGTCTGTGCTGACTCTTACTGATTTTAAGGCATATTGTTTTGTAAAATACACTTAGATCAACTGTTCTTCAATATGTTGCTTCCACTAGGTACTGAGGTAATATAATATGCAAATGTGTTAGTTGTGTATTAGTGATAAAATATCAACATGATTAATTACAGCCAATAAAAACATAACATATGAAATAGTTTTTTTATAAGGCACAAAATAATTATTTTCTGTTTCATGGCCCCGCACAAGAGTTCAGACTTCTTCTTGTATAAAAAATGACTGATAGTTCCTATGTTAAAGAACAAGTGGACATATTTGATTCATCTGCTTCAATGGCCATATACCGCAAGTCCCCAAGGACACAACGTAGGACAGTAGTCATGGACGCGTACACTTTTCTTCCGTCTTCTGAGTCACTTTCCAACTGTTCAAAGGCAAACCACACTCAAGTTGTAGAAACAAAACACAGACTAGGAAATAAGTCAATTAAACCAAAACCACAGGTTTTTGTCTTACCCAGGTGAATGCTTTGATAGTACGATTCAGGAATGCATCTTCAACATCTTGTGGTATGGTCAACATTTGAGCCATGCAGTCTAGTATGCACATTAATGTTTCTTTGGTGGCCTGGAAAAACATAAAAAAGGAAAGTTACCTTTGGAGTTTGCCACATGTAAACTTGTGAGCTTTAATGTATATCCAGGTTATTCATTGCTATATTCCTTTAGTTTTAAATGTTAGTCAGCAAAGCATGCACTGACCTGGTCGAGTGTGTTGAGGATGGTTTGAGAATCAGTGCTGTAAGGGTTCAGGGCTTTGGCTGTCTGGATGCAGATGACAGGCTCTTTAAGCTGCTCCAGCCATGACCACATGAGCCCAGTAAGGATAAAGGGATCCCGCTCGGAGCACAGTCTTTCCCAGCCACCACCTTGGTTTAGTTCTGCCTGCATACATTTGTACAGTCATGTTAGAAACTGTCTCCCTGTAAGACCCTTTGTGTGGCTTAAGCAAGGCATTTACAATCTGCATTCTGCTTTTGTTAAAAGTATCTTTGGAAATATTTAAGAGATTAAGGTGAGTGGGCGTGATTTTGAATCAAGGAGTCAAGGATGTTACAGCACAGTTACATTTAAATTGGTCTTTTTTTATGCAATCGAATTATTCATCATTGTGTGTGGGTTTGGCTCCATTCCTTCCCTTTAAATATAAATATAGAATTTCATACCAGAAGGAAGCTATAAAAAATCATGATGGATTAACTTGTGAATTTTTAAAGAACAGTTACAGTTGATGTTTTTTTGGCCGTCAATTTCTGCAAATACCACCGCATCACTGGTGTGGATTAGTTACCTGCCACGCTAAGACTTTGCTCCTGTGCTCTTCATCCCCATCGAGAAAAAGGTCCACTGCCAGGGCCTGTGCCACTAACAGCCTCTTGCTTTCCAGGGACAACTCTGTCTGCAGGGTGATGTATGGAACCTCTGAGTGTTCCTCTTGTCTTACATTAGGCTTCGTCCCGTTCATTTTTAACTCTTCCCTCTGCTCTGCCTTCCACCTAGCCAGCATGCTGCCCTTCTTGGTAGGTTCACTGTTCCCCACAGACTCACTCCGTTGGATGTTTGCCTGGGTCACTTTTCTCAGCAGAATGGATCCATCTTTTTGGGTTTCTTCATTTTTTAATTGCCACAGTGAGCCTGCTGAGACCTCAGAGGGGTTGCTGTTCCAACGCTGAATCTCAGTTTGAGAGTGAGCTTTCTCCGAGGGGTAAACAGACGTATCGATAGTAGTCTGTGACAAGGAGCCGAGTGGTTGTGTGGGGAGGTTGAGCTGGGGGCCCAGTCGTCTCAAATCGGACTCACTGTAGCTAAGACTTTTGCGATGGTAAAAGATGGGTGGCTCGTTGAAATGTCTGGGTAAGGTTGGTGTACCTGGTAAGCGGGGCTCCTTTGCGAACACATCAGGACCCATCTGCTCAATAATGCTGAGAGTCATCTCTAAGTCATGAATATCTGGGGCCTCCAGAATGTCTTCCTCAATCACCTGCCGATTCTCTGCAATGTCCAGCAGCAGCCTAGACACCAGCTGGACAATCTTTGGTAGATTCCTTAGCTCCTTTCTTTCATAGCCATGTAGTATGTGTCTCTGGCGGTTTAGGTACTGGGATAGAGTCACTGAGTTAGATCGGGGCTCAGCACAGGAAAAGACACTCCGCAAAGGTGCAAGGAATTGAACAAACTCTCTGACACAATGCAGCTGACCTCGTGTCTGGATGGAACTGGGGCGTTTAGCACGTACATATAGAATAGCCTGGTTGGCAGTCATCCTGGTAGCATAGGCCAAGAAACATGCTAAAAGCACACCTGGAGGGCGGAAACAATGCTTCATTTTATAACAAATTGATCAAATGACAAATCAGACTGCCCTGAAAAGTGAAAACACTTGTGAAACAACGTTCTTCGCAAAGCTACCTGTTCGTCCGAGACCAGCGTGACAGTGGACAGCTATCTTTCCTTCCTGTAGAGCGAAGGCCATGACCTTCACCATGTCTAGCATGTGGGTGAGGTTGGCCACTCCGTAGTCATTCCAGCCAAAATTGTAGAAATAAACTGAAACGTGAAGCAGCAACGTGAGCAGCAATACACCAATATAAACAATTAAACAACAGTTAGCTAAGACAAAATATCTAATTGGGCAGGATGCATTCCACGAGTACTGATATTGAGTGAGAACATCACTGGGACTTTTCACTATATGTGTCACTCCACCTCAGCGTTCTCAATAGAGTTAATTCGCACCATGGAGGTACTTCTAAATCACACAGGCAATCAAAGCCTGTTTCAACACACTCTTATTTCACTGCTTGTGTGATAATTGAGAATACAGATAAATGCACAAAGTAGCTGGTCTGCTGATTTATGTAGAAACATACACACAAGCAAGAGTGCAGGCAAATGATTAGGTTTGATTGGCTACGGTCCAGCTCAAGTGAAGTTTTGGAACTAATTGTGTAAGAGCCGTATGGATGATGAAAGTAAAAAAAAAAAAATACATATCTGTTTATGCTTATTACTTTTCCTACTATATGTTACAGTTGCTTAAAGCGGCACTGCAGCCTGTGCTTAGGACTAAATCACTGCCATGCTTATATACAGTTCACATAACTTACTCTTATTTGCATAGAGCACTTACTGTCGTTTGCCATGAAGATCTCTGGGCGGTAGGAAAAGCCGCTCTCCGGCTCTAGAGGATTTCCGCAGCTGGCATGTTCACCAGGTATCTGTAGGTTCATCACTGTTTTAATACCATTCCTTGAAGCAAACACACAGAGAGAGAGACATGAACACTTCATTATTCTCATCTCCTCAGGTGTTGTGTCCTCTTGGTCGAGGAAGCTGGTGAAACACTGAGGAAAGAAGAACAACGTTATGTTTACCTTTTGAATTGATCAATGATTTTGTATTTCTCAATAGTTTCTGTTGACGGTCTGGACATAGCAAGAAGATAATCACTAACCCTAAAACAAGAGGGAAAAAAAGAGAGTGGGGTTAATACTGTATCACACAGTAATCTACACCCATCTAAGTCTCATGGCTGAAGAGATTTCATAAACATGAACTCGATATATGTTTCATTATATCATCGCAACTACAAAGGTAGAAAAACCATGTGTACCATGATGAGTAGAGGCCTTTAATGGCCTGTTGGTCATCTTTCCAGTAACTTGGGTTGTCATACTTGCAGGATTGTCCTCCACAGCCAATTGAGCATTGCAAACCTGCAGGGATGACATGACGTATAGCTTCTCCAACTAGCGTATACTTTGCCCTGGGGGCTCTGACTGGAGTCATCATGGGGGTTGAGGGGGGAGAGAAAATATAGTTTTAAAATTTAGTTAGATGTTTTTATCATCATAGCAGTGTGTGTGTGTGTGTGTGTGTGTGTGTGTGTGTGTGTGTGTGTGTGTGTGTGTGTGTGTGTGTGTGTGTGCGTGTGTGTGTGTGTGTGTGTCTTAGCAGAGTCAATGTTTTAAACCCCTTCTTATTAGAAGTCATATTAGAAGTTATTACATCCTCGTAAATTGTAGTGCAGCATCAAAGTTCAATCAAGTTTAAGTTGTGCCGTAGCACCTTTATAATTAAGATCATCGGCGGTAAGTTCTCACTTGGAGGTGTCTAATCCTTATCTGCCATTGTAAATCTGTTATCAGATCATCACAGTAAAAATAGTCACATTTCAAGGCACCTGTGTGGTGCATTTGAATGCAGAATTTTTGTGACTTAAACACCAGTATATTACCAAGTTGTTCCCTCGTCATCAACAGATAGGTGTTTAATGATAACTAAATGCTATTGTTACTTACTGTATTCCATCAGAGTTCCCCCTCTGGTATTTGCAATGCCTGCCATATGAACAGCGTCTCAGGCTGACATCCACAGTCATAGCAGGGCCTGCACACACAAATACTTACTTTGTCACGCTACATACTACTTTATATCATGCATTCTGCAATAGCTGATGCTGGAGGCCTTTATCTTAATCCTAAATAGAGAATTATAACCAGTGTCCAAACAGAACCTGAGAGGAATCTCATAAGAAATCAGGGCTCTGGGGTTTATTATTCTGAACTGCAAAAGTCTCTGTTTGAGAGTGAGCGATCAGTTTATGTCCATTTGAAGCATTAAAAACCACATTGGAAAACATGTGCAAGAGGTAGACAGTACAATTGGACAAAGACACAGGACAGTAAGTTAAAGATTGTAAACATGAATAAACAACTTAAAGAGGAACACTAGTAAATACACATTTTTTATCAAAGATCAGCATCATCTATCACACTCAGTCACGTGTAAAGTAAACATAATCCATGAGGCGATATGCTCATGTTAGCTTTCCCTAGGCGGCTCATTGCATTAATAAATACATTTTCACTCCTCAAGACCAAAGTGCTAAATCAACAACTTGGAAATAGGTAACTTGGAAAGAACTTTAACCAAATTAAACGAATAATAGAATAAAATGAAATAAGATACGAAATTAAAAACAACTAACATCAACCTCCACAGCTCTGACGTTGTCGTTCCCTCCCCAGCTCTGTGGAAAGTCAATCCTGTGGTCTCACTTGATTTGATTGGTCTCAGATGATCTCTGTTGTGGCCGGGTGGGGCAGATCAAGCACCCGCAGGATCCTTTGTAGCCATCCTTTGTAGAAAGCCATCTATCTCACCAGCATAACGGATCGAGTGTGGAAATAAAACAACCTCCAAATATTTGGAAAAGGAGCGGAGACTCTGTCCTCAGTAGCCTCCTCCATGCATAGGTTTCTTGTCAATCCCTGAAGAGGGGAGCGTAGGCTATTCTTGACTCCTCCTGGATTAGACTGCTAATCTTATTACGGCAGAGGAATAAATTAGAGCACCCACTACTCAACCAAAACTCATACTTAAGCCCCATTACTATTGCCTTTGACTAGTCTAATATGAGAAACCAGATTCTCAACATGTCTACAATATAAATAACTGATAGTTAGAGTTAGATTGTTTTTATGAAAGTGTTCTGAGGATTTCTGACATCAGCACTCTTAAATGCTCTCACCTTGCTATCATAGTGGGACTTTAGTGACATAGCCAGTAGATACAATCTGATTGGCTTACCTTGCAAATGGGTAAAGCTAATTACATTTAGGTTACTGGGAAGGGATCAGTCTATGATGTTTAGCATTTGGGCATACTCCAGAGCTAACAGGTGCTATGTCACCCTTATTTCAAAGTTCCTGCACATACTATCGTGAAAACTGTGAGAACAAGATTTCTTCCTTTATTTTTGTTTCTACATCTAAATTTTAATGAGAGAGGAACCAGCTAGTCATTAAACATTTTCATCACCTGTTTTATTTCAATCTCAAGAGTTCGATCTGCTCCAAACATTTTTTTACCTCCAAGTTCATAGTCATATAGCCACTGATCTCATAAATAATTTCAAATGTTAAGAATAAAGACAGTGTATATTTTCACTAAATGATATATCATTAACCCTTTTTTTTATCTAATCAAGATATTTAAAGTAGGCTATAGCTATTTTTGATCATGTAGCTTATAGTATTCTGAGTAATATAAATACTCACAGCTTTGAAGATCTTTAATTGTGCTGTATGGATCCAAGAAATAGTCTCTGCCATCTAAATCCACAGGCAGCACCGCACTGTTGGGCTTCTAAGAGGAAAAAATGAGACCAGCATCATGAGAGATAAGGAAGAAGAGGGGCGAAGCAGTCTGGAGGACACAAAACTACTAAAGCTAAATGTATGGCATGTAGTGTAAAGGGTCAGATAAAGTCATGAGTAAATCACCGGCATGGCTGATTCCAGGCATATCTCACCAGTCTGTGACAAATACATTATAGTGCAAAGCCAGGAGCTAACATGTGTAAGGACTCTTTAAGTAAAAAATACTGAAACCAAAGTATGATATAGGCTAAAATGACAAATCAACTTGCAGCAATCAAATATAAAATAAGTGAGACTAGAAAAGTAGCCTTGAATTTGCAAAATAGGCTTACATAAAAATTAGGAAAGTAGCCTAGTGCAACTTGTAATAGGCCTACAGAAAAAGATACCACATATAAAGAAAAAAATACCACATATAAGCCTTGTATTAACTGTTAACAAACTTATTATAAAGCCTAAATTAGTCCTGGATTGTTAATAAAATTATGTTTTAAAGATATCAACCTGATTGTGGATTATTGAAACAAGTTCACTTGATTGTAACGTAAAAAAAAATATTAATATACTTTTCCAACAGATGGCAGCAGATATACATGTGACGGCTTCTGGAGCGTGGCTGTTGATGGTCTGTTCGTTCCATTGCTATGGCAACAAAAGGCTCGGAGAAGGATTTCCGTGCTCCACATAAGCAAATGAACAAAGGCTTAAGGGAAAATGAGTTCACTTCGTGGTGTTGGCAGACTCCTTTGGTTTGCTTCGTGTACTGAAAGTACTACATTTCCCGGCATTCCTTGCCGCCTTGTAGCAGCTTACCCAGCTGATTGGGTAGATGTTACGCACTTGGTACGTTCAGCTGTTTCAAAAAAGCCGGTGTTGATGTCAAATATTCCTTCAAAATAAAAAAACAGAGAGCTTTGACATGACAATAAATAATCAATGTGTCCTTCTAAATTATAGTTAGTTTTTCCAAAATATTGCATTTTCATTTCAGTATACAAAAAGTGCAAAATAAACCCGCAACCAAAGGTGGTTTGAGGACTATTTTGAGTTTTATTTTGAAACTAAGTACCGGAAGTCGATCGTTTTTTTTCCTCCCTTTTGGCAGTTTTACTCCGGCTTCAGCTCTATCGCTCAAACAAGCCGGGGGAGAGAGGTGAAGGAAACGCAGCACCTCAACGATGGAGCAATTCTAGGAATAACGGCGAGCTCCCCCGCAGGAGATACATCAACATCGTCATCTACATGACCAAAGAAAAAGGGCCGGCTACGAGACAAGCAACCGTAACAATCATGCAATTTAAATACAGACGAATTTAAGCAACCGCTTCAAGGTTACGCCGCCTGAAGACGCCCCATCATCTCTCCCCCCCCTTCCTTGACGCAGATCGGCTGGCGTAGGTTGGTTGATCCATCACCGGTAACCGACCATGTCCGTGGAAGAGCAGCGCCATCCCGACGCAGTGGTGTTGCGTGGGGCAGGTCCGGAGTGGATGCGGTCCGAGATCGAGCGTCTCGCCCGGGAGCTGGGTGAGACCACGAACGAGAAGATCCAGGCGGCGGAGTACGGGCTGGCGGTGCTGGAGGAGAAGCAGCAGCTCAAACAGCAGTACGATGACCTGGAGGTTGAGTACGAGGCCGTCAGGCAAGAGCTAGACCAACTGAAAGAGGTAGGCTTTATTTTTATTTCACAGAAAACAACCGATGAATGATTATAATATCATTTTATATTGGACCTAAGTGTTATCATAAATAGACACCATACACTGTTTAACCATTTATCCATTAATGTGATTTGGGAGGGGGGGGGACACGTTTCTCTGTGTCATCTTTTATTGCATTCCTGTGTGTTATATATGCTGTGCTGCAGCGGTAGGTTATGGGAATTGATTTACTTTGGCATTTGGGGCAAGCATCAGAAATTACCTTTCATACCACAAGGTCAAAACAGCAAGATGAGGAGGGGATGCTGCTCCACTCCCCCACCCCCCTCTCCTTCATCAGGGGGTTCCCCCATTGCATTTCTACCTTTTTTATTTATTTATGCTGCTCTTCAAGCCCTACTTCAAGACATTCCTGTCTGACTCACAGCTAGTCAAGGCCTGGCATGTTTCAATCCAGTCTCGTAATGTCCTATACTCTTGAGTAGATTTTGCAGTCTGTACAAATATGGCCATTATTGCAGGGCATGATCAGCAGTACTTTACAGTAGTTATTTGAAATGGGCAAAAGCTGTGTTAATCAATAAATTGGGTCCTGGTTTAAGACGAAACTAGTGTAAACAGGCTTGTTAAGATTGTAATGTTCCTTGATAGTTGCATGCTAAGATTACATTCAAAACCAACACCTTTATTTGTGTGATGGACTTTAGATATCTTGTCACACTGTTACTGCTCAGACGGGCTCCTCCTCTGTGAACAAGAATGACCAGTTTAGTTGTTAGGGGCGGGAGTAGGTTTGAATTTTGAAACTTCCCGCTCAGAGAGAGAGAGAGAGAGAGAGAGACAGAGACAGAGAGAGAGAGAGATTAACAGTTTCCACTGGAAACCAAAGAAGTCACAACCCTTTGGGAATGGCAGGAATGTCGAGTGACAGTTCAAGCTGGGCCGGAGAGTCAGATAAAGGATGTGTCTGTTTTTTTTTCTGAACAGTGGCCAGAGTTATTCTCTACAGCTTATCACACTGTGTTCGATTTTCTCCGCTGGAGCAGAGCAGCAGTTTTTCACTGGCTTGTGATTTAGCAAGAGTCATGTTTGACTTTAAAGTGACACTAGGCACAAAGTTCAGTTTTTAATGCCTGCAATACGGCAATATATTGTGCCCTCTTTTCACTGAGGATAGGCATGGCAGGTTTATTTATAGAGCAAGTTTCAAATACGGCAATTTCTATGGAAAGGCAACCAATGGCTGAGACAGTTGACCTCATGGAAAACCCCCTTTTATTTTGTGCTGGAAATCCTCTCATCCATCCGGGGAGTGTTTGTGCATTTCAGTAGGAAGTCTCAAAAGAGATTTTTCAGCTCTCTCCTTCCCCATCCTTCCCGTCCATCTCCTAGTGGCCCGTCTCTTGTTGTTATTTTCGCTCAGAAGAGGGGGTCTCACGGCTGTCTAAGCAACTCCTGCTCAGTTTCCCATGCACGCTGTCTTTGGCAAGAAGGCCGAGTACTTCTACAGAGGAATGACAGCAAAAAAGCCCTGAATAGAAGAGACGGACTGGAAACGTTCTAAAAGAGTAACCATGGCTGCAAACCAAAGGGAATGAACCCCAGTGGGGACATTTGGACATTTGCTGAGATTTTCTTTTTAATTTTTGCCAGTTAAAGAAGCTCTCATTGTGAGTGCTGGACTCCACACACACCTGTTCTTGTCTTTGTTTCTGTCTACTGATGGAACACAAACCTCCATCTGTGTGGGCAATAAACTCCGTTGTTTGCTCAAAGCTGCAGCAGAAGCTCGTACTCTTGCCTTAGGGTTGTAGATCACTCGTCAGATGTTAACCCTTGAAAGAAAGAACAACTATTTTTCTCTATCCCTCTCAACCCCCAAGTCATACTCTGTTTAAAGGGAAGAAGTGATGCTATCACATATACAAACACATTCCTCTGACATCCCTATCCACTTCCTCTTTATTATCAGTGGAAAAACAGCCTGCATGGGAAGCAAACATAAGATAAGCTACTGTGAGAAGAGGGGCTAAATGTAGGCTCATCTCCCCCTCAGAGTATGTATAGTTTAACCAATCATTCTGACTGGAAACATGTACATGTAGCAGCCTCACAATCTTCCTTTGTTGGTCTGAATTGTGCTTATGAAGCAGGCAGGTCAAATGGATTGGTGTGGCATTGTCTGTTGCCGTTATGAAAGCACATGCGGCAGTTATTTCTCCTGTCAGGTAAATGTCACGTTCTCTTTGGTGATGAATGACTGCTATTCACACCAAATGTTTGCATGTTCCCTGTCTTCTTGAGGAGTTCGACAGAATAGAATAGATTGTGTGGCAAGATTTGCACAGTACACTGGATCCTCTCCGGTGACCTTTTAACCTCTTCTCTGCTCTACACAAGCACCAACACAGTGGAAAGCAGCTCAAATTTATGTGTATTCATAGGGATTTAAGTGCACACATAGCACTTTCCCTTTTCTCCTGCTGGAGTTGTAGGACAGATCAGAAATCATCATGACAGTGAGCAAATTCCCCCTTGCCTTTTCAAGCGATCCTCACCATCTCACCTACCCTTGGACAAGGCACTAATATTCACGCTCAAACACACCCCCACATACGCGCTTCTCCCGAGTCAGGAAGATGGAGGAATTCTCGACACCACTGTTGCTTAGTAACGGCACAGCTCTGTGCCTTAATGTAAGCAGCCGGATTCCTCTCGAAGCAGGTGCTGCTTTCTGAGTGAGGTTTGCCGGCTGACTTTCCGAGGGAGCATCGCGCAACAACGTACAGCTAGCTACATGTTCACATGCTCACTGGCTGAAGGAAGCCACCCAATGGTTCATGGTATTCATATGATGTTCAGATTATGCATTAATACATCCTTTTGGCATTTTTCTGCTGCTGGGGAAATGACAAGCCCCCCCCCTTCCCCCCTTTTTCTATTCAACTCTCTGCCCTTTAGCTTTACAGAAATCATTCTGTGTCTATTATTTGCTTGGGCAATAGGGATAGACTGATTTGTGTGTATTTAGATTTTCCTTTTTGCTGGTACTTTATGGTGAATTTGAGACGCTGCCTATTGCCCCTGTGCTTTTTCTCCCAATACTTGCAAAGACAAGATCCAATCATACATTGCTTTGTGAGTACATGCAGATTTTCTTCAGTGGAGTGTTCGACACATTATATCTTTTAATCAAAAGGAAATGTAAGCTGCTCACTCTCTGCTGCGATAAAGGCAATCAATCACGTTAGACTGCTGTGAAGATTCGAGAAAGCTGTGTGGACTTTGACCCTGTTATCATTCAGATAGCAGAGTACAGTCATAGTCGCAAGTCGAAGCAGCTAATGACATTAAAGTTCAGTCCAGCAGAGTTAGAGCGTGTGGTGGTGGGGCCTTAGCGGCTGTTGATAATCTTAAGGTAAGCCACTCACAGGTGACATCACATGCCACACCTCCAACTGTAAATGCAGTTCTGAGGGACGTATAGCTCAGTCTGTGCCTGTGTGGAGAACTAGATCAGCTTTCCTTATGTTTACGTGAATGACATGAGATCGAACATAGTGGCTACGAATCGTCATCGTCTTTGTTAGGACAACGGATTCATAGAACACTCATCAGTTCTTTTATTCATTTATTTCTGATAGTGGTTCTTTCTTTTCCGTGAGCCCCTTTTTTCTGCTTTTTCCGCAAAACGGTCGTAACTAGGCCATCATCGCGTCCTTTAAATTTCGCATTGATTCCCGAGATAGCATGAAATTTGGTGAATTCACATTTCCTTCTGGCTTTGCGGAAACATTGCGCTTCCCCCGACCGGCTCAGCTGATACCGTCTCATCTCCAAAACGTAACAGCGTAATGCAACTCACAGAGGTGAGATCATTTCGTCCCACCATTACACCTCTGCAACATTCAGATTGAAGGTGCAACATCACAGGGGCATAAATATCACGGCTTAAAACAGTAGTGTGAATCGGGCTAATTGAACTTTGCTCAAGGCCTATGGAGCGCTTTAGATCCCTGTTTCACTGCTGAGAATTTCAGAGACCACTTTAAAGGCTTTCGTTTTCACCTGTTCCTCTGGCTACTGTCCTGTCACCGGAGCGGCAGCTGTGAACTGCTCTCTGGAATTCAACCAGACAATCACAAACCTAAATATTGTTAAGCTCGGTAAAACCTGGCCTCTGTGTGTTCTGCCCGCTGGCCCTTTGTGCGGATGAGCCAACTGGGGTTAACAGGTCTTGGGTGTCACAGACCAAGAGAGGTATAAATGGGAGCAGAACACAGTGTATGACAAAGGAGAGATTGAGAGAGGCGTCCCATTGTGGTTACCTTTTTGAAAGGATTGGTCACTTTTGTCCATTTTAAAATGGCAGATCACTAAAGGATACATCCCAATGTCCTTACACAAAGATATCTGGTGTGACTAAGCCCTTTCTTTGGTGGAAAATGGGTTGAATGCGGATTGGATGTCAGTAGAAAATACGAGGGGACATAAAAACCCATCTGGTCACTCATATGAAGAGTCATAAATCAAGTCGATCTTATATTTTTGGTTTGCTCCACCATGCTACGTCTCGTCAACAGCTGCTGTTCTCTCACTGCCATCTTTGTTCTTTTTTTTGTTGCTCCCTTAATTCAGCCATTCTCATGACTTGTCACAAACTCAGAAACCTAACTCATTGAAGAAGACACCATATTCAGTTATTAATTTATAAATTCACTTGGCTTTCAGACAGATGTTAGTTGTTGCCTCTATCTGTGATCTATCTGTGAAGCTTTCAGCATTGTTTGGGGTCTATCCATAATGTTTTTGCTGGACAGCAAGCTTGCAATTAAGGCGTAATCTTTTCTAAATGGCACTAAATAAAGTCCCAAATCCCCTACTCTCTGGGCCTAAGAGGATGAATCACAGTCGCTGTGCACAGAGCTTACGGAGGTCTGGGAGTCTGCCAGGCTCGGCCATACTTGGCCAGAGCCGGTGCGAGGTAGGCAGGACAAGACTTCCAA